TGACATCCGTATGTCACATGACTCACTGCCTTTCCGTGCAACCCCCACCCCCCAGCCCCCGGTGGACCAGAAGCCCGCACCATCCTTAATACTCAGGTCTTGGACACCTGCTCTTGCATTTCACTCTTTACCTGCAATTTTGAGATGTTGCCTGTGCCACCACTAATACCCCGTTCTACAAGCTGTTGAAAATTCTGCCACGCACCACCCCAAGCTTCTCCCCCTTCTTGCCTCTGTGTAAATAGTGAAAAATAATCTGTGGCACTGAGCAGATGGGTTCTTTCTCAAGAAAGACCCAATTATTGAAGATCTAGTGTAAGGGGAAGTGTCATAAATATCCCATTTTGCTGCAGTTGAGAGGAATTAACCACACAGCAATGAAAGGAAACTGGTTACCTATGGAGGAAACATGCAGACTTCCAGTGCGGAGATCAGGGGTAAGCCTCTTGCCAAGGCCCTGCATCATAAATGCCAGGGACAGGGGATTTTAGGGAAGAAGCCCTGGCCTCCTGAAGGCTTCCTCACTCAGTGGGTGTGATTCCCATATACGTATCATAGAGAATATGGTAGAGATCACAGCTCTATCCACCGGATTTCTATTTGTTATCTGTATGAGCTTTCCCAGCGGAAGCAGTGTCTTGAGAATTCAAGCAGAGGGTGACTACATCTTGCTCTGGAATGGAAGAGAGTCTTTGGAAAGGGTAGGGTGTTGGAGGAAGAGAAAAGCTGCAGGAGGAAGGTGGTATTTTTGAGGCCAGCCCACCTCCTGGTCCAGATCTATAACTTCTCACCGGATGGGCCCCTAGTCCTGCTGTCTGTGCCCCACTTTCTGGTCTGTGTCATTTCCTTTCAGCCTCCATGGACATTTCGGGAATCTTAGCCCTGAATTCCAGGGCCTTGCCCAGAGTATAGGGAAGGGGAAATCCGAGAGTGTTCTCAATTTCCTTCCTTGCCCCTTAACTCAAAGAAACAGGACTCAGAGGGTTCTAAACCAGGACGAGGAACCCAGGTTCTAGAGACCACTGTTTCTAAGGCACCTCCAAGGGAGAGCTTTTCAAAATCATACAGGGAGACCCCGTCACTGTAAAAGAGGGGCTAAAATGTGGTGGGGTCTGTTCAGGTACACCTGGGAATCAGTTTTCTACCTCCCTTTACCCGCAACCCCAGTAGGTCAACATCCCCTCCCGCACGCCCTTTCTTTGTAGGCCTAGATCACCAGGTTGGGAAAGGACATAACCTAGACCCTCCATCCACCCACCCCGAATTTACAGGGCAGCAGAGGTGGGGTAGGGAATCCCCCAGGGGGCCAGGTTCCATCTTGAAAGCGTGCCTTGGTTCTCCCCCACCCTCGGATGGGAGAAATTGAAGGTGTCTGAGGAAGTGGCCTGGTGACAACGACAGGGCCTTGAGTGGGTAGGTGTGAACAGAAATGGAGGAACCCAGAAGTGAGGTTGGAGGGTGGGGTCTCGCCTTGGGAGAGGGGCCGGGGCGCTGACTCAGCGGGTGCCCCACCGGGTTGCAGCTCCCGACTGCCCCACCACCGCCCCGGCCCCGCAGGGCGCCCTTTGAAGCCGGGAGGGGGCTTTGATCTGGGGTCTACCCCTCTCAGCTGGCCCAGCCAGATGCGCTGGGGGAGGGACCGGGGAGCCGACCACCCCGGCCTCGCCTTCCCTGCACCCTCCCTGCCACCACCACCCCCACACCCGGACTGTTTCCGGCTGTTGCGGGGACAGTCGACCCTCCCCTCCCCCACGCCTTGCAGCTGTTCCCCAGCTGCGCGGCCCCACCCTAAAGACAGCTGGGAGAGAGGCTGGGGGCTGGGGGGGGGAGCGGGGCGCAGCTGCTGGGCCCGGGCTGGGACGCGGAGGGCAGCGACATGAAAGAGCTCGGGCGGCGCGGGTGGCGGGCGGAGGAAACCCCCCGGCGGTCGCCTCCCCGGGGGCTGCGCACATCTGGGCCACAGCAGCCGACCCCCAACGGTGGGGTGGGGGAGAGGCCCTCCTGACACCCAGCCCTTCCCGGAAAGGGGAGGAGTGACGACCTCTCGGGGAAGGCGGGAGGGCAGCGCCTGGGTGTGAGAGCCGCTATCTCAGCCGTTCGCGGGATGAGGCACAGGGTGTGGCTGTGGGTGCCCAGTGGTGTGGGAGTTTGCACACCAGGGCCGGGGGGGGGGTAGGGAAAGGCCCCCTTCACACCTTCTCTGGCAGGCCTTGTGTCTTGGGGCGACTCCAGCTCTTTCCTGGCCTCCTCTGCTCCTGACCCTTTGGGGAGGTGGGTGACAGCTGCTCCTATGAAGCCAGGGACAGCTGGGTGGTTGGGGACAGCTGGATGGGGTTAGCATCTCCCTGCTTCCCGGGTTGCCCTGGCACCCCCAGGCTGTACTACTGGCAGTTGGCTGCTTTGCCTGCGTGTGTAAGTGTCTGGGGTGGGCTTCCAAAACTGGGACCTGGTGGGGCTCAAACCCACCCTACCCCCACCAGAGTCTCCCTCCATATCTCAGTCTGACTGATGTGTCTGGAGAGAGGAGCACCCCCCCACACACACACACACAGCTAAAACAAAACTAGGCCAAGTGGGAAAGAAATTGGGCAGCTTTCTGTCTTGGCTCCCAACCCTTGGCACAGAAGATGTCCTAGGGCCCCTGACAACAAGAGAAAGGGACAGTGAGACCGGAGCAGATGTGAGTGGAGTTAAATGTCTATCTGTCCGCCAGCACCTGCCCCCAGGCATCCTTCCACCCTGGGCTGCAGGGGTGCCGTACTCCAACCATCTGCCTCCTTGCTTTAGCCCCCAAACAGGTGCAGGGGAAGAGAAGGGGGCAGGCCAGCTGTTGTCATCCTGGCCTGGCTCTGGCTCCCTGCCAAAGTGGGGAAGGGGGAGCAGCAGAGCAAGGGCCCACCCACTCAACACTGAGTCGTTTTCTATTCCCACAGAATGAGAAGACACAGCTTCTACTTAGCACGACCAAGATTCCATTTGGGTCTGGCCAGCCTACTGGCCACACCAGTACCAGGTACCAGAACATGGCCTCACCATACCCTCCACCCTGGATCCTTAGTTTTATGAGAGGGGGACTGACTAGGGCTTCATGAGACTCTGACCCCTGGCACAGGACAGGACTTACCCATGGCTCCCTGCCTTACTCTAGGCTTCCTGGGATAGGAGGCATTCAGGCCCTGACTCTACCCACACAAGGGAAAAGAGAACTAGATTCCAGCAAAGGTTGCTCCTCCTACTAGTACGAAAGAAGGGCACAGGCTGCCTTCTGACGTAAGATCCATGCAAAGTTTAGGCAACAACCAGAGATCCTTTTTAAAAGATCACTCCCTCTGCCCCCAACAGAGGTCTGCTCCAGCCCCTCCTTCTACCCAGGGGTCCCTGTGACAAGCAAGACCTTAGCCAATACTTCAAGGCAGCACTTCTTTTAACGAAGGAGTTAAAAATACAGGTCCCTTGGCCCTTGATGGCTCCCTAGGCATCAGCCCTTTTAACAAGCTCCCAAGACATGCTAGAGAGTTTGAGCAGCTCTGCCAAAAGGGATGAGGGCAGAATGTCTTCTTCACCTTGCTACCCTACCTCCATGCCTCTCAGAGCCAAATATTTTCCTGCCTGCTCTTGGCCCATATGCAGGGGCAAGGGCCCGGGCCCAAGTCACCACCAGAGGTGTGGAGCTGAGTGACTCCCCTAATGGGGGCCAAGGCCCACTTAGACTAAATTACAAAAAGAGGGTCTGTTCTGTTTATGCCCACAGCCCTGCACACTGCCTGGCACTTAGCATGTGCTCATTAAATATTTGTAGACTGAAGCAGGTAATTTTGCAAGACTCACAGAAAGGTATTTCTTGCTTTGTCTGTTCTAGCTAAGAACATGCTGGCAGAACCTCAAAGAGATGCCAGGACCTATGAAGCAGGGGGCTGGGCCTGGGAGGCCCTCGCTCAGCAAATATTTGTCAAATGAATCCAAGGCTGACAGGAGATGTAGTTAGTGCCTGACGAATTGATATTCACAGGCCTCGAACTGTCTAGATGGAGCACAGAACCAAGTCGAGGAAGTCAGGGGCTTCCATCCCTCGGTGCCCTTTCTTGAACCAACACCTGAAGACCCTAGGCCTGGGGGAGTGAGGGGTAAGAGGCGAGGCAGGGAGTGGGACTGCGCCATTACGTTTATTAGAAGGTTGGCTTTCGGTGTGTGCTCTAGACAGATTACAGAATAAATACCTGCGCCTTGAGAACAGGAAGTCCACGATTCATACAAAGTGCTCACTACAGGAAGTTGCTGTGTCAAAATCCAGGCAAGGACCCAACTCGGGGCAGCCGCTCCTCCCCCACTGACCTCAACAAGGGCTGTGCTATGGTTTTTTATTTTATTATTTCTTTTATTTCTCTTTATTATTATTAATATTATTATTATTTGCTTTTGCTGTGGTCACTATCATTGGCAAAGTTCCTTTTCCCCTTTCCTGGACATGGGGTTCCTGTCTTTAAGATTCCACTCTGAGGCTGAAGGTGCCAAAAGCTGCTTGAGAAGTGGCCTTTGAACTCCATCTGGGAGGATGTTGAGAAGAAGGAAGCAGGAGAAATCATTCTTGGTTTTTAAAAAAAAAAAAAAAAAAGCCCCACAATCTATAGGTCATTTCTTGCTCAGTCAGTGATCAAACTGCCCAAAAGAAAAATGAGAGAAGCAGGCCAGTGGGCACCACTGGTCCTTCCTCCCAGGGCTGGGTGAAGAGGGCTGGATCCCCCAAGGCTTCAGGGGAAGCTGAGGCTCCTTCCAGCCACAGGGGTAGGAAGGGAAAGGAGTGGGAGAAAAAAGGAGAGACAGAGAGAGAGCTCAATGCCTTGAAGTAGACGTTTTCCCAACTCCTGGGCCACCTGCAGCCCAGCCCAGGCCAGCTCTCACTGTCACCTCTGTGTCCAGGAGAGTCATTAAAAAAAAAAAAAAAAAAAAAAAAAATCAAAAACAAAGCCCCAAACAAAACAAAATCCAAAAGGAAAAGACTTGGGGGGAACGAAGGAGGAAGGGAGGGAAGACAGGAAGGTAGAAGGGCAGGTCTCTGGATGCGTAATTCCCAAGCCACTGGGGAGCTGGGAAGATTCCCCAGCACCCCACTGCCTGCGCTGCGTTAGCTCGTCACGTAGTGTTTGGTGGACGGCTGCCCATACACCCTGTAGAAATCCTGGTGGCCAGGCTGCTGGGAGGCGTCGAGCCAGTCTCTGACCGCCAGGCCAGGAAGGGACTGGGGGACGGAGGGTGTGGGCGGGAGCGGGTGTGAGTACTCCTGTGAGGGCACTGTCCAGGGAAAGTGGCCGGAGCGGGGGTAGGGCTGGTGGCCACCATGGTTGGCCACGGAAGAACAGTAACAGTTGTCCACAGAACAGACGAGAATCTTGCGGCCGCCATACTGGGGGAGCATGGGCTGCTGGGTGGCGGAGCCATTGGGATACTGTGATGGGGGGAACACAGGACTTGAATGCACTGGTTGGGCGCCGCCCGGCAGAGCCACCAAGTGCTGCGTGGAGCTGCAGGGCCCCAGGGGCTGCCCTGACTGCCCCTCGCCGCTGGCTGTGCCCGCTGCCCCATACTGGCTGCCCACGGGGCCTGACGACGTCTCTAGGAAACTGGCCTCAGGGAAGGCCGTTGAGTGCTTGCGCTTTTCCGCCCCAGAGCTGCTCACGCCACAAGGGTACAGGGGGACGCTCTGCAGGAAGGGCACCGGTGTGCTGAAGGGGCCTGCGGAGAGTTTGGGGCAAAAGTCGCCAAAGCTCCCATCCCAAGCAACCCAGGCCTCCTCTCCCCACTTTCTATCTATAGAAGCAAGCTCATCACATCATGCACTGTCTTGGTCAATGCTGCCTACCCCATTAGCAGGTGGAAACTGTTATTATGCCCATTTTACAGCTGAAGAAACTGAAGTTTAGGGAGGTAAGATGGCTTTTCCCAAGGTCCAAATAGCTAGAAGTGGCAAAGCCAGGATAGGAAGAAAAGTCTATCTGACTAGGCCATGCTGCCTCTCAGAGAGAAGGCTCTGGCATTCCTCCCTGCCCAAAGGGCTCTCTCTTTTCCATTGAGGATACCACCCTCACCTTCTAGCATCTTCCGCAGCTGCTTCTCCTTCTTGGCCACCTCATTCAGGAAGAGCTTGGAGTTCAGGTGGCCGATCTTAGGGGGAGAAAGGCTGCTGCCCGTGCAGGTCTGGGTCCTGGGGGCAGTGGACGGGGCATCTGCTGTGAGGAGGTATCACCGGTGAGCCTGCCCTACCTCCCCCCAGTGGGCCTGGCCCTCCCTGCCCTCCCCCAAACGTGCTCCCCTGGGGGCCAGTGGCCGTCTGCTCACCTGTCCATCAGGATTTTCACAGACTTGGTGTTCTAGGGGGAGAGAAAAGAGTTAGTCAGTGGGAAAGGCAACATGGGAGAGCCTCCCCATTCTTCCTCTCCCCAGGCAGGGCTGACCATCTGATTCCAGCCAAAGTGTGCTAAGGGGGGAGGGGAGTGTCTCCATTTCTAGAAGATACGAAGACCTGACATTTATTGAGTACTTACTATGTGATAAACATGCAAGTGATTTCCATACATCCATCATTTTATCTACACAACTCCCCTCGGAGGAAGACGTTAGAGGCACTCAGTTCTTTATCAGAAATTCTTGGGGCCAGATGTGTCTTGGAATTTGGAATTTGCTGGATTTTAGAAGGGGACTATGGTGCCTGTACTATATAGTACATATGATCCCTAGTAGGACACCATCGTCTAATACATCAACGTTCCTGAAGTCAAATGTTTGAATCCTTGTATTGAGCAAGATAAATAAAGACCATATATTGCCAACATGAGTTCAGGTCAATTTTTCCTGTAAAATGAGTTGTCAGAATTTTTTTTACTAGTGTTCAGAGGCTTTTAAAATTTGGAATTGTGGATAGAGGATAGTAGGTTGCTCTGTCTTATGAACCCCATTTTATTAGTGAGGAAACCCAGGCACAGGGCACATCTATGACCCACTCCCCAGCTCACGAAGCTAGAAAGAGCGGGGGTGGGAGGGCTTCGAAGCCACGCAGGCTCCGGCTCCAAAACCCTGTGAGCATACTGCTGCGAGACACTCGCCCGGGAGCCAAGGAAGGCCGACTCCAACTGAGGCATGAGCCCAGGGCCCAGCAGCTGGTCCCGGCCCCAGCCCACCTTCATGAAGCTGACGTCTTCTGTCTTGTCGAAGAGCAGCTGCAGGGAGCCCAGCAGCTTCTTGGCCTCCTGCATGCGCTCCCCGAGGTGCAGCGCCTGCGCTGCGTTCTCGCTGCAGAACTTGGCCTGGGCCTTGTCCAGGACCTCCACCGTCTGCCGCAGGTCCTCATCCAGCAGCTGGTGCAGCTTTTCATACTGTAGCCGCACCTCCTCCTTCAGCTGGCTCACCTTCTCCTGCAGGCACGGGGGTGCGAGCGGGTGGGCGGTGAGTCCTGGGGACCTCCAGCTGCTGCTCCCGCCGCTCTCACATCCTGGACGGCAGAGTCTGGGACGCCCCCACCCCGAGGCTGCCCAAGGCTCCCGAGAGCAGGGTCTGACCTGTTCGGTCCCTGCTGGTAGCACAGGGCTCTGGGCCAGCTACCCCTGGCCCCGGGAGGGGCTCATCCACCGAGTAACTGACCTAGGGGATCTGGCATGGAGTCAACCACACAATAGATCCTAGCCCAAATAAGGAACCAGCCCGAGGCCCTGCACCCAGGCCTCCCCACCCCATACCATGCGCTTGGGCTTAGCTACCTCCACCAGACGCTTGTCTGACTCAAGCTTGTAGAGCTGGTCCTCGATGTCCTGCTCTCGCTCCTCCAGACGGTCCTGCTGCTTCATCAGCATCTTCTGCAGGGACAGGTGGGGAAGGGGCGTCAGAGGGGGCTGCAGCTCTATCCCTTACCAAGGATGGGGGAGCACCACCCTTCCCTCTATAGAACAGACTCATCCTATAGAGTGACTCGGATGGCCTAGATTTCTGCCATCTAGCCCTTTCTGGCCCCCACGCAATCCCAGGGGCCTGGTGACAGCTGTCTGGCCAGCCTGTTCCCTGGAATAGCTTCCCACACATATCTAAACCATGAGCTTTCTGAGGGCAGGGTCAGGCCAGCCCCTGCTCTAAGTGCTTTTCCTGTATAGACTTATCTAATCATCCCAGTAATGCTATGAGTTAAGTACTATTATTATCCTCATTTCAGAGAAGAGGAAACCAGAGAGATTAAGCAATTCATCCAAAGTCACACAGCTAGTAAATGTTGGAGCTGGGATACAAACCCAGGGGATCTGGCGGTAGGGTCTGTTTTCATGCAAGGCAGGCCACCTCTCTCTGGGGAGCTCCATCTTAGAGACGAGAGCCCTAAGATGCAGAGGGACAAACAAGCTTCCAAAGTCATACAGGCCCTCTGGCCTGGTCCACAGATCTCACCCTATACTTGCCTTACTGCACTTGGGGGCGTCAAGGGCAGCTACCCCTTCCTTTGCTCTTGATGCTGAGAGCCAGGCCTCTAAGTCCTTGCTAGCTCTCTCAGACTGTCAGCCGACCCAGGTGGAAGGGAGACTCTGGATTTCCAAAGAACGCAAGGCCACTTTACTGGAAGGTGCTAGACCAAGTTGCTCTTCTTCTCAACCCTCCATCTCCTAACAGCCTAACCTGGCTGTTCCACCCAGCCTGTCCTCACCAGACATGCCTCTTCCAACACTGTCTCCTCCTGCTCAAGAACCCTCAATGATGCCCTCCTTCCAGCACTTTGGCCACAAAGGCTTTCTGACAACTTGACTCGCCCAGCCAGGTGGACTGCTCTCTTGTCCCCAAGGCTCCCTGCACATGGGAATTCCCTGCACACTGCTGACAAGGGGCCTCCTTCCTCCCTCTCCATCCTTCAAGGCCCAACTGAAGGCCCAATGACCTAGGAAACTTCCCATGGCCCATGCTCGATATCTGTGCTGTGGGCTGTCATGTTGTGCCTCCCCTCTGTCGCTGTGCTGTGCGGTTACGGCAGCTGCGAGTCACATGTGGCTATTTAAATTGAAGTGAATGGAAATAAATTCAGTCAAACATCAGTTCTCCAGTTGGGCTAGCCTCAGGTTCGAGTGCTCACTAGCTACCCGGAGCCAGGGGCTCGGGTACTGGACACTACAGGCACCAAACATGGCCACGATCACAGAAACACCTACACGACAACACTATTCCATAGTCAGCCTTGCACAGTGTGGTCCCAACTCTCTGGAAAGCTCCAGGCCTGCTGAAAATAAGGTTTTGCTGCTCTTTTTCCACCTCCCTTCCTGGCCAGGCCACACAGGGGCCACAGCTCCCTACCAATGCCGAGCAGGTTGACTGAACAAGGCCGTGGTTTTGCTACAATGTAAGGTTTGCAAAGCAGGCGGCACAGAACGGGGCTCGCAGTGTCCACCCTACAAGGAGTGGTTCTTTTTCTTCCTCTGTGTGGGCCTCAGAGACCCTCAAGTTCAGCCTATGACCCCCACTCTTCACCCAGGCCCAGCTGGTTTCCTAGAGACAAGCTGCCACCCGTCCCTTCCTGGTTCCTCCAACCCATTTTACATTTGGGGAAACCAAGTCCAGCAAGGGCGTTGGTGACCTTGCTGTGAGCTGGTATCTGCCCTGGAAACAAAAACCAGGACCCAGGGGGACAAGAGGAGGTGGTGGGGGAAGGCTCTCAGCTTCTAATCTGGAGAAGCTGGGGGTCCACCTGCCCTGCCCCCACTCCAACAACTTGACCACTGACCTAGGACAGGACCTCTAAGAACCAGCCCCAGGAGACTTTGCCCTGCCCCCAGAGCTTTGTCCTTCCAGCAGGTCCCCGCACAGGTCCAACATGCACAGGGGTCTGCTGTGAGCCTCAGAGTCAGAACCTGTGGGAAACACAGCTGGGCGGGGGGCAGAAAGAGGTAGTCATGCATCCCCCCTGGGAAACTGCCCACAGCTATAGGAGGAGGGCAGGCAGCGACCCTGCAGCACTGCCCAGAACAATCTGGGCCCTGGCCCCCCTCACGCGACTGCTGCACACGGCTACACACATACTTGCATCCAGCCCCTACACAGTGAAGGCTGGGCCCCCTGAGGGTCCCAGACAATGAGGGGAGGCCTGCCATAAAGGCAAGGTCACCAGGACTCCCCTTCAGGAACATGAGGGTCTATAAGACTAGCCCCAAATTGTTGCCTTCTGGCTGCCTTGCACCCACATTCAGAGAACAGGGCACCCCCCTCCAGACGTGTCTCAGATTCCTGGCCGCTCTTGTCTTTTCTGTGCTCAGGATATCCGCATGCCCAGTCTTACACTCACACACCGTGGTCTCCCTGCCTAACTACTTCCCACGACCAAACCCATCGGCATCCAATTAGGGACACACCTGGGGCTCAGCCCGATGAGGGGCAGGAAAGAGGCAGCCCCCGGTAGGTTCTCAGACCAATTTCTCCATGACGCCTGGAAGGCGGGCTGTACACTCCCACCCTCCAGAGCAGTGGGAAGCCCCTCTCCCACCCACCAGGAACCCCTTCAAGGAATTCTTAGCTGACTCCTCAGGGAAGAGCCAGAAGAGCCACCTCCCGTCCAGTCCTAGGGGCGGAGCTGAGCCTTGTCCCTCTTCTAGGCTTTTCTCAGAGCCTTTCCTGGCAGTGCTTCTACTCTGGGACCTTGCATGCCCAGCAAGGCAATGGCCACACTCTCTGGCAGGTAGCTGGGTTTTACTTCCCCTCCCCCAGTAAAGAGGCCATGGAGCTCCTGTCTCTGTTGCAGGGGTAGGTAGGGGCAGGGGCAGAAATGGGAAGGAAACTGGCCAAGGGTTGCCAGTCATCATGGAGGGCTGGGAGGGGGGCCCAGGGCCCCATGCTGGCCAGCTCACCCTTGCAGAACTGCCCTCCCTTGAGGCCCACTGATCTTAATCCTGCTAAAGACAAAACCTGTGGGGAGGCAGGGGGTTGCGGGGATCACTGTTACCTCAGGCACTGGGAAACTGGGAGACTAGGGGAAGGGACAGGAATATCTACTTGCTGCCTCTTCCGTAGCCCTCACCTCAATGACTGAATTGGGTTACGAGAAGCTGGAAGATGGGAGACGGGAAGCAAGACTGACCCCTGCCCCCTACTACCGGCAGTCTCTTTCAGTCCCAAGGTCCAGGAAATAGCTGAGGGCTGAGGCCCCACTTTCCACCTGGGGAAAACACACAGCTGAGAGATAGGACCAGATTTTCCAGCTTCATTCAGAGCATGGGCTCCCAACGCGGGGTGGTGGGGGGCACTTTACGAACTGCTCCCAGCCCACAGTGAGTCACCTGGACTGTGGCACACCTCAAGGGCTCAGGTACAGGAGCAGAGCAGAGCAGGGACCCGAGGGCTGGCGCAGCGGGGCTGGAGGGCCCAGGCCTCTGGCAGGAGGGAGGAGGAACAGTACCAGGCCCAGCTCTACTCAGCAGCACCCCCCCCCCACCCCCGCCCTGATGGAACCCGCTCACTCCTGGTCCTGGCCCTTAGGCCTTTTGTGGTCTGCTCCTGGGCCTGTGAGGGCAGAAGCATCAGAAAGCCTCGGGGGCACTCCGTTCCCATCCTCTCACACCTGGCAGGGAGGAGAAGCAGGCCCCAGAACATCCTGCCGCCCAGAGTTTCAGACTCTGCCTTGAGCTGCTCCCTCTGGTGCCCCTCCCGACTCAGAGAGGGGGCACTTCTAGCTCCTTCTGTTCCTGCCCCAGGAAAGCCTCACATCCCTCTGGAGTCTAACTGGTCAGGCCCAGCTGGTATTTCCGACGCCAAACTGGACTGGGCAGACGGGTGAGGCCAGGGGGCCTCTAGGCTGCATAAAAGTTAATAAATAATAATAATAAAACCCTCAAGTCAACCTTGAAGAGAAGCAAGGTCAGGAGGGAACAGGGCCCCAGGGGCTGGGCCAGAGGCAGGACCAAGGTTTTCAAACAGGGCCAGGGCTGGGACCAGCAGCCCCTGTGGTGGTGGTGGAGGCAGGGAGAGGCAGGGGGGGTAGAAGAGGGAGCTGGGCAGCTGCACACCTTTCTCTGCTCAGGCCCCTGTCCGGAGAGCACTCATGTCAGCTCCAACTCGGGCTGCAACCCTTGCTCAGGGCTACCCTATCCTAGCCTCCTTCCCAGGCTGCCACGCCTGCCCCCGCACCCCGACTCTCTCCCTGAAGCCCTCTTCCCAGGAGTACGCTGGCCTCCACTCTCCCTGGGCCAGAGTGCTCTCCCCTGGTTTCAGAGCAGCTGCTGCCTGCCCTAGACGCCCCTGTCCAGGCCTCAGCCCCTGCCTCGGGCTACCCGGTGGACAAACCCCCTGGGGTGGGGGGCAGAGGCAACCAGAGACACAGAGAGCCGAGGCTGCAGGGCAGGAGCTGGGTGAGGAGAGCAGCGGCAGTTGAGAGACAAGCCCCGGCAGACCCCAGAGAAGGTTTCCCAGCTGCAGAGTGGAATTAGCTTTTGCCATGCAGAGAGCAGCGCTCTGGGGCAGCAGAACAAAGAGGCGAGAGAGAAAGCCCCCCTTTGTCTGGGCTTGAATGCCAGGCCAGCCGGGAAGGAAGGCTTTCTCAGAGCCAGCGATGAGGCCAGCCAGGCCTGCCTGCTCTGTCCAGGGCAGGGGCCCAGGCCGGGCCCACCTTCCGCCTCTGCCCACCCACAAGGCCTTCAACACAGCCTGGCAGGACCTGCCCGGACCTCGGCCTCCAAGGCCCGCCTCGGGCAGCAAGCTCCCCCTTTGGTGAATTCCCTCTTTCCAGCCCCTCCAAAACACCCCCACCAGTTGAGAAAGTCACACAGGACTCAGAGCTGGAGCAGGCAGCCGCGTGCCAGCAGCACGGGGCGGATGGTCCTGCCGAGCCACTCAACTCCCAGCCCCAGGTACCCGGCAGGCGGGACACGCGGCCACCCGCCTCGCTCAGGGACGTGCGCCCACACGCCTTTCTGACCCCGCAGCGACACACAAGACCGCCATGCAGCCAAGTCAGTCACGCACACGGTACTTCCTCGGAGAGACACGTGGGAGATACAGCAAGTCAGTCACATGGTGAGAGACACAACCGGACACGCTGGTTACACACGCACGCGCGCACACACACCTGCACACAGAATGCCTGCACAGCCACCCCGGGGCTGCGGGAGGCAGAGCAATCCACAGGGCGTGCGGGACAGGCGCCGGGCTGTGTCAGCAGGACCCTGGCGTGGAGGTAGGGCCTGGGCCTCTGCCTGGGACCCAGGGCCCACCTTCCTTGCGGACTCAGGCTCGTCAAGGAAGGGGCACCCCACACACACCCCAGCTACCCCCAGACCCGGGAGGTCAGGAGTAGGGTCGGGGGAGGAGGGAGCAGCAGAGCCTGGTGCTGCTTCAGTTGGGCCGGGCTGGGGCAGCCCCTCGCTCCCACAGCCTACCCAGAGATAAACACGTGGGGCCAAGCCATCAGATCTGCTCCCGGGTCCCAGTGCAAGCCCTCCAGCCTGGGGGCCATGCGAGTGGCGTAACCTCACCGCTAGCAGCTACAAACCCCAAGTTGGCCTGAGCAGTGGGATCCCCAGGCCCTCCCCAGAGAGCATCTCCTCTCGACACTAAACCTACAAGAAGCAAGGAAAAGGGTTCTGGCAACATTTCCAGCTTTGATCTGGGGTCCTAGAAATGCCACAGAGGCACACTATGACCTGAACACACACATGCGCGCGCACACACACACACACACACACACACACACACACACCAGGACACCCTGAATAGCTCCTCAGACATGTACGTAGGCCTCATCTTGGGTTTTCTTTCCAGGTTGAAGATGGTTATGAGGTAGGGATGCTCCCAGCCTACCCCAGTTCCCTATTGCTCAGATGAACCCCTAAACCAGGGGGCTGGAAGAGGGTTTCACCACCTACCACTGCCAGGCTCAAACCTACCTGGATATCCCAATTATGGGAATTTAGCTTCTCAGGGCCTCAAAGGGGTCTAGGCCCATCCCAGAGGGGTCTTTGGGGCCCACCCAGTGTATACCAAGGCTTCAGGGCAATGGGGCCTACACTGGCTTCCCAAGGACAGAGTGGAGCAACAGAGTGGCAGGCCTGACTCCGGGTCCCCTGGTACCCTCCAGGCTGGAGAGAAGCCCGGCCTGCCTTCCCACTGGGCCCCTGCTCAGGACGACTGGCCCACGCTCCTATGGGTGCTTCTGAGTATGGGACGGGCCACCAGGGAGAGGTTGATCCATTTCCTATTTGTGGCCAATAGGGCATTTCAGCGGGCGCCCCACTGCTCCCTCCCGCCCGGGGAGGACAGAAGCGGAAGCACAAGAAGAGGGGCTGTACTTGAAGGCATGCGCCAGGTCTCCATACATCTGCTCCTACAACCCAGAGCATTCTGTTGCTCTCTCATCCTTGGTGTCAGCAGAGGCCCTCAGGCAAGGGAAAAAGAGGCCCAGGGAAAGGCCCCGCCCCCTGGCTGGAGGATGGACAAGGCACACCGGGTTCTTCCATTCAGGTTCCCCTCCAGCTCTTCCAGGCCCCTGAGGGTGAGGCCCCTCTTCCTCCCCATTCAATAAAAAAAGTCCAACTCACAGTGAGTGACCCTGGCCTATTGAAGGGTTTCCAACTCCAGTGCCCCGGGTCACTGGAGAGAATCTGGAGGGCTAGGGAGGGGGCGCCAGGAGGGGGATGAGACTCAGGCCGCTGGGCACAGATGCTGAGCGCACAGAACTGCACATCTGGCCCTGAAGCAACCCCACTATTTGTGAGCCTGCCCGCACCAGGAGCAAAAATGAACACATGAACACACACACACACACACACACACACACACACACACACACACACACGCAGGCACACACATGCACGCACACAGCTGCTGACAAAAGTTCAGCGCTTCCTTCCCATCCAGCTCCTTCCATGAGCCAGGATCAGGGACCTGCTGGTGGGAACCCCAGAGTACACTCTGCATGCAGGGGCAAACCACCTCCCCCTCCTCCCCAGCCCCCAACTGTACAGATGAGAGACAGGTGCATTTAAGGGCAAAGCAGTCTAAGACGCCTGCAAACACAGACACACATCTAAAGATACCCTCCTACTACCGAATCAGGCACAATTATGTTTTCTCCCCACCCAAATGAAAAGCACCCCTAGCACTCAGACACAGTAAAGAGCAAAAGCGTGGGTGCAGGCACACATTCACTTATCACCCTGGCTGCTGCCCCCTCCCCGGTTCCTTTCAGCTCTGACTTTCCCTTCCTGTCACTTTTTCTGCTGCCAATCCCAGGACAGAGAACTGGACAGCGCTCCTGCCTCTGCGCTCTCTCCTCCTCTCCTGGCCTTTCCATCTTTATTAATAGTAGCAGCTTCCCAATACTGAGAAAAGTCTGGGCTCTGCCTGCCCCGAGTTGGGGGTGGACACCAGGGGCTCATCAGCTTCCCCTGGGCTTCTGTTTCCCAACTCCCGGGGAGGGGAGAGAATGGCTCCTCTCTCCAACCCCTCCACTTCCTTTAAAAAGAAACCAGAGGTCCTGTCCTGGTACAAAAACCCAGAGCTAGCCCATCCGATGGAAACTAATTATACAGTAAATTTTATTTGTTATCCCTGCCCTCAGCCTGTGGCAGCCCTCCTGCCTTTTGTTAGTTGTATGTGTATGTTTTTTAATTGCTAAACAGTGACTCATTCTGACTGGTCCCCCCCCACAGGAAACAGCACCCGTCCACAACCGTCCCCTGCTCAGAGCTTCCTCATACCCAAGCTCCCCACTGGCCTCGACCAGCCTCGGGGGGGCCCCCACCCAGCAAACACTCCCGGTCCAACCAAAGCCCAACCTCACCCCCATGATATCACACCCAGGCTCCAAGCTGGGGCTTTGAGATGGCTCAGTCTCAGGCCAACCCCTTCCTTCTGGTATGACTCAACCCTGAAAGCCAGGGGACCAGGGAGGGACCTAGGAGGAGCCCCCCTCCACTTAAGGGGACGGAAGTATTGCCTCAGTCCAGCTCCAAAGCCAGGCCCAGAGGCCTGAGGGGGAAGGCGGTTTTGACATTGGCTGCCGCCGCCGGGTGTATACAATGGGAGGGGATGCGGTTCCGTAATCACCCAGCGGCAGCCCAGGGGAGCCAGCTGCCTGAAACCAGATTGCAAGGCAGCTCAACCTTAAACCCACAGGATTCTTTTTCCGTCTTCCACTTCCCCTCCCCAAATGTGGGAGGGCTGTGATAGAGGGCTGGGCTGGGAGAAAAGGGCTCAGGGTGGTGAAGACACATACTTCAAGGTTTGTTCATCGGACGCAGGCAACACACACAGGCTCACCGAAGGCAGTGATTCTCACACATGAAGAGCGGGCTACTGGGAATAATCAGAATGGCTGAGACACTGTTCAGTGGGGCCTCTGGCCAGTCCAGGCCTCCTCCAGATAGATACCAGAGTTCTGTTCTCCCTCCGGAAGCTCCCCTCCACCCCCCCCCCCCCAGTGTGTTTCCAATAGGGCTTGAAAGGAACATGGCTGCTTTTGTTTACTTCCTCATTGGTATGCCAGCATCATGGATCGTGTCAGCCACAGCCGGGGCTCCAGGACACTCATTACATAAACAGCAGCTGGAGAAGCAAGACCTGGGTCACTGCCTTGGTGACTTCCCATAGGGCCCACAGAAACAAGGCTGGAGAAGGGAGCTGCTCGCACAACAGAAGAGCAACACCCAAACTCTACCCCTCACCTCAATTCTAGAAATGACTCAAAAGATGGACCCTAGGAGTGCAGGTGCAGGAACGTATCAAGCAGCGGGGGAGGGGGGGGGCTTCTTCCCAGGACACCGCTCCTAAACTTTCAGGGTAGCAGAGTTTGGAAGGGGGCCTCTGGCCTGATGTTACCAGAGCTGGCCTGTCTGGAGGGGTGGTCCCCGGGCGGTAGGGAGCGCGCGCGTGTGTTTGCGTGCGGGGTACTTGCCCGGATCTCATTCCTCCGGATCTCCACGTCGCACACCGAGTGTCCCTGATGCGCACCGCTGTAGTAGCAGCAGTACTGGCACACGGCCACCTGCTCGGCCTCACAGTGGTAGAGGCGGTAGGCGTTGTGCTGGGGGCAGCTCCAAGCCCGCACGTCGTCCGCCTCCACCAGGAGGTGCCCGCGGGCGGTGGAGGGCTGCTGCAGGTGCGTCTGCACGTGGGACTGGCAGCAGGGCGCCTCGCAGCGCAGGCAGACCTTCTGCGCGGGCAGCGGGGGGCCGCGGCGGCAGAACACGCAGTGCAGCGCCGCGGGCGGCTTCTCCACGTGCAGGGCGTTGAACTTCTCCACGATGTTGGTGAGCTTCAGGTTCTTCTCCAGGCCCGGCTTCTGGTTGTAGGCCTGGTTGCACTCCGGGCAGCGCACCAGGCCGCTGTCCTTGGCCCACGCCTCGCCAATGCAGCCCCGGCAGAAGTTGTGCTTGCACGGCAATTGCACCGGCTCCACGAAGACATGCAAGCAGATGGGGCAGATGAGCTCCTCCTCGAAGCAGTTCTTCCAATTCTCCGCCATGGCGGCCGCGGGCAGGGGGCCCGGGCGGGCCTCCCCCACTGCCCAACTCTGCGGGTCCGTCCCGAGCAGCTGCAGGCCCACCGAGCCCCGAGCTCCGGACCCAGGCAGCCCCGACAGTCGCTCAGTCACCAGCGCCTTCCTCGCGCCTGCCCCCCAGAAGAGGGAGCTTCGGTCCTCCCGCCGCGCGCGCAGCCGGCTGCGTCTCCTCCTCCTCCCGAACGCCTAGCGGGAGGCGGCGGACTGCGCCAGGGCCGCGGCCGGGACACCAGCCCTGGAGGGGAGAGCCGGGGTCCAAATTCCATATAAGAGGCCGCCTCCGCCCCCGTCCGCGCTGCTAGGCCGGCGGCGGCCCGCGGCCTGCGCCCGGCTTCGCGGCTGACATTGGGGCGCGCCCCGCAGCGGACAGAGCCCGGGAGCCGCACACTTCCTCAGGCGGCAGCGGCGGCGGCGATGGGGCTCCCTCCCGGCTCGCCCGCGCAGCACCTCACTCGCCGCGTCCGGGGTCCGAGAAGCCGAGGAAGCGGGAGCGGCCGAGCCGAGGGCAGCTAGATCGGGAGCGGGCGGGCGACGCGAACTGGCGGTTCCCGGACCGCGGCGCAGGCGCCCCCCGGCTGCCCAGCCGGGTGCGGGTGCGGGTGCGGGCTGCGGGGCGCAGGCGGGCCGACTCCGGGGCGCTGCGTGCGCGCAGGGGCAGTCATTCAGATGAAATTCCAGTCCCCGGCCAGAGACACCAGCCCGCCTCTGCCTTCCTCCTCCCTTCACAAATAGAAACGGAAGGGGGAGGGAGAGAAGTGGAAAAAAAAAAAAAAAAAAAAAAGCCAACCAGAAAGGGAGGGAGAAGCCCCGGCGGTGCTCCGGCCTGACCCCCTCTTCGCGACTTCTGCGCTTCTCCGAAGCCGGGCGCCCGCCGCCCCCGCCGCAGAGAGACCCCGCTCTCGGTCTCCGCGCTGGGCGGGCGCCTCGGCTCTGCCGAAGGATTGATCAAACTAGAAAGGAATTTTTCTCAACTGCTAATGAACAGGAGGCTCAGCTCCCGGCCCTCCCCCCCCCCCCCCCCGCCCCGGCCCTCCCCCTTCGCCACCCCGGCCCCCCTCCCCCCCACTTTCTTTTCTTCTCGGCCTCTGCTCCGGCCTGGAAGGCTCGGGGCTGCGGTCGGAGCCAGCCTGCGGCGGTGGGGCCGGGCCAAGCCAGCCGGGCCAGGCTGCCTCCCTCAGAGCCCAGCCATCTTGGGCTCCTGGCTGCGGCCGCGGTGGCCGGGGGTCCGGGCGCGCTCGCTCGAGGGTCCTGCAGCGGGCTTTCTCTCTCTCTCTCTCTCTCTCGGTGGGATTTTTTTTTTTTTTTTTTTTTTAAGGGGAGGGCTGGCGGCCTCCCTTAAATTAGGAGAGAGAGAGGAGAAAATGCCAAGTCCCGATTTCTCTCCACCTCTGCTCCACCCACCCCGGTCCTTTCCAAAAAAAAAAAAAAAAAAAAAAAGATTAGAATTGGAAGAAGTCGGCAGAAAGGCGAGCTCCGGCGGCCCCCGGCTGCTGCCCAGGCGACGCGTCCGGGGCGGGCCCACGCCTGTCGCTCTGTCTGTGGGTCCGTTTGTCCGCCTGAAGCTTCACAACTGAGGGGAGGGCACTTCGGGCAGGGTCTCCGCAGCGGCAGTCGCCTCAGAGCTTTATCCTCAGATCAAAAAAAAAAAAAAAAAGGAAAAAAAAAACCCAACACTCTCATCAGGGCCACCTTCAGCCATCTTGCGCGTATTATTATTTCAGGAATAATCTGTTTAATAAAAATAGCTGCGTCTCTGGCCCCCTCCCCCGCATTCTGGGCTCCCCGCCCCCTTTTAATAATAATCTCGATGATAAAAATGATCTGCGCGCCGGGCAGTTCTTTTCCTGCTTCTGCTCGCTATGGCTCCGGCTGTTCCCCCGGGAAGGGAGCGCGGGGCGGGGGGGGCGCGGCTGGGGCTGGGGTGAGTCCCTGCTGCCCGTCAGTCGGCCCCCTTCGCCTCAGCAGCGAGGGAAGGGCGCCCTCGCCGCTACCTCGCCTTTGGAAGGAGGGCGGGCGGGGGAGGGGCCCCGGCTCGTGGGACCGGCTGGAGGGGCGCACAGGGGTCCCCGATCTTCCCGCCACAGTCTGGCCTCGGAGTCTGCAGCCCGGGGCGAGGGGATACAATGGGCTCCGAGCAGAGTGCGTCCGGCAGGGTGGAGATGCGGGCGGGCAGGGGTCTGCGGTGAGCCGGACTCCCGAGGTAAAGCGGAGACAGGCGGAGGGTGGTGTCCCTACATCAAGGCCAGTCCCGCTACACGGGAAGGGGGCGGGGAGACAGGGAGGAGGACGGGTGGAGAAAGCGGCAGCGCAACTGCGGCGCCTTTAATCAGCACCCGCTGGTTCGGCCCACCCGGCACTGGAGACCGGGACGGACAGGGAGGGGAGGGGGGATAAGGGCGGGGCGTATTGTCCGGAAGTGCTGTTACAGCTGCTGAAGCTCCCGGCTCCTCCCCTTTTTCCTGTCTGGAGTTGGGGCTGTTCCGGAGGCTGCTCCCGCTATTGGTCCCCAAGCTAGGGCTCCGCCTCTTTGGGGCGGGGCAGACGCAAGAGCCTCATGTGACTTGCACTTACATCGGTACATTAAACACTAGGGTGGGAGGAGAGTTCCGCGCTACTTAAAAGGGCGATGATGTCGCTGCGTAGTGGGACCACCTCTTCCTGGGCTTTTTCACCCGTAGCTCTTTTTACCTGGGAGGAAAGGGAGGGCTGTCTGATGTAAGTGAGCAGGGAACTGTAAAGGTTCACCGTGGCTATTTCCCCATGTCCTTAATACTTTCCCCCACATATCTGGCACTTAAAACTACCAAGCAAAATAGGCATTGTAATCCCTTTTCTATTAATAAGGGAATGAAGACTTAAAGAAGTGGAGTAGTCTGCTGGAGGTCGATGGGTCAGTTAACAAATATTTTAACAAAAGCCTGGAAGTGCCAGGCATTTTTCTGGGCCCTGGGAGTCCCTGGAGAACATATACCTAATAATAATGATAATAATGATTAATACTAATATAATCATATCATAAATATTGTTATTTTATAATATATATAAATATTAGTGTTACATATACAGGATAATTTCTGTGATAGAGAGTAAGGGGTTCACGCAGGGCTCCTCAGAAAAGTGACATCTGAGCCAAGACCTGAATATTCAGGAGTCATCAGGCCATTAACAACCCTGGGAAAGAGTGCTTCAGTCAGAAGAAGAAACAAATGGGAAAGCAACAGATTACGCATGCTCCAGGGCAGAAAGAGGCCCTCCAAGGGAGAAGACAAGTAGGGGACAGAACATGCAGGTTCTTCTAGGTCATGGTAAAGAGTTTAGACTTGAAGATGGTTATGAGAAGCCCTCAGATTTGGGATAAATTCTGGAAGTAGTGCCAACAGGACTAGATAAAGATTAGATATGGGGTGGAGAGGAATCAACACGTTAATAGGAATGGGATCAAGATGTGCTTATCACTGTATATAGTATGTGCTTTTGAACTTTTTTTTTTTTTAAGATTTTATTTATTTATTTGACAGAGAGAGATCACAAGTAGACGGAGAGGCAGGCAGAGAGAGAGAGAGGGAAGCAGGCTTCTTGCTGAGCAGAGAGCCCGATGTGGGACTCGATCCCAGGACCCTGAGATCATGACCTGAGCCGAAGGCAGCGGCTTAACCCACTGAGCCACCCAGGCGCCCCGAACTTTCAAAATGTTACCAGGTATATAAAGTTTTTTATCCCTCCAAAATGTTTTTAAGTGATTCTTAGAGGAGTTGGCCCTCAGCAAGTCTGCATGGTGGTAGCACACACCAAGAAGGAGAGAATTGAAGAGAATGAGCTTGGGTGGGGAGATTTTTCAGTAGCTCTAAGTTAAATTTGAGTTGGCTCCGATATCCCACTGGCGATGTTGCAAAGACAATCGTATATACAAAGTTGGGGGAAGGTTTGTACTGCGATTATAGATTTTGGAGTCATCAGCAATTACATTCTGAATGGTAGAACTGAGATTCAAATCCAATTCAGAGTAACCAGTGGGTCCCTGATCCTTCCATAAAACCAGAGGGCCTCACTGCTCTAGGAATTCTGTCTCCTTATTCTTGACTGGGGGGCTAATGTGGCCCTTCAATGACAGAGCCCATGTGTCTTCAGCCCTTTGCATTCCCCCCACCCCGCATGGGAGATCTTTTGTTGAATGAATGAATAAATGAATGCCTGCATGTCTGAATTAACAAACAAGGAGAAACAATAAAGTCTAGTTTGGAGTTGTTGGAGGGTCCTTCTCTGGCTTCCTCACCAGTGCCCTCCAGGATAATCTAAAGGATTCCTCACATTCCCCACCTTTCTAGACCATCCCCCTTAACTTATAAGATATCATACTCTTCTGGCTTTTTTCTTATCTTTCTAACCACAAACTTCTCCAATTTCCATCTCATAAATGTTGACAGTCCTGAGAGCCCTGCCCTCCATCCTATTCTCTTACTAATCTATACCTGCTCCCTGAAGCCTCTCACTCCTAAAGCTTTACTACTGTCTGTAACCTGGTGGCTCCCCACTCACCATCTCAAGTCGGAAAGTTCACCTTCCTGGCTGCAGGTCAGTGTAGCCAACCCTGACATCCCTCTGGATGTCTCACAGGCACGTTGAATTCAATGTATTGGAAACTAAACTCATCATCCTCTTCATATTCCAGCCCATTTTCCTCCACTGTGTCCCCCATCTCAGTCAGTGGGACATGTCAGCAGCTTAGTGACCAAGCCAAGGATCAGGGAAGCGACCTTAGTATCTCCCTTTCACCTCCCTTAGCCATCCAATCAGGCGTTATAGATGCTTTTCTCTCTCTCTCTCTTTTTAAGATTTTATTTATTTATTTGTCAGAGAGAGAGAGAGAGCACACAAGCAGGCAGAGTGGCAGATAGAGGCAGAGAGAGAAGTAGGCTCTCCGCTGAGCAAGGAGCCCGATGTAGGACTGGATCCCAGGATCCTAGGATCATGACCTGAGCCAAAGGCAGCGGCTTAACCAACTGAGCCACCCAGGCATCCCTCTCTCTCTTTTTAATTAAGGATTTATTTATTTATGAGAGAGAGAGAGAGAACATGCCTGCAAGCGCAAGCCAGGGGAGAGGCAGAGGGAGAGAATTTTATAGCAGACTCCCCACTCATCACCGAAATTCAGTTCCATCTCAGGACCCCAAGATCATGACCTGAGCTGAAACCAAGAATCGGACCTTCAACCAATTGAGCCACCCAGGCGCCCCTATAGATCCTTCTCTTAAATATCTCTCAGGTCGGAGGCGCCTGGGTCCTCAGTGGGTTGAAGCCTCTGCCTTGGGCTCGGGTCATGATCTTGGGGTCCTGGGATCGAGCCCCGTGTCAGGCTCCCTGCTCAGCGGGGAGCCTGCCTCCCCCTCTCTCTCTGCCTGCCTCTCTGCCTACTTGTGATCTCTGTCAAGTAAATAAATAAAATCTTAAAAAAAAAAAAAAGATTCTGGAAAAAAAAAGTATCTCTCAGGTCACCTCAGGTCACCCATTTGTATACTAATTGCTTGCTTAACCTCATCACCTGGAGGTACAATGAATATCAAAGTCCGCATGTCCAAAACTATGGTAATTTCTGTACACACTCCTGCCCCTATTCCTTTGAAGTTGTCCACTTCTCGGTGAACATCCCATAGCCAACCCTTTAGCAAATCTTGCCACTTCTTCACATCTCCATTACTTCACCATAATCTCTAGCCTGGATTATTTCCGTAGATTCGAAGCAGTTTCTCTGC